CTTGCGAGGAGAGGTGGATCTAGAGGAGGAGGAGGACAAGTACTCCTCGTACTTCTGTTGGTCGAATTCATACTCGACCTCTTCTTCAACCGGGATGAGGATCCGAGGTTGCGACACTTCAGCCTTCGCAGAAAGGCTGTCGGCTCCTACTGTGATCGTCAGTTTGTTTTCGTCGAAAGTGGTCTTTATTATCGAGTTCATTACAACTTTGATCGTTTATAATGAATTCAAATAACAAGAATAAAGATTATAACTTTCTAGAAAATAAACACAAGAATTGTTTATCAATTCTTGCTTGCGTAGGGTCTTTGCCTGTGCCTGGGACGTTGATATCCGTGGACCGCCTACAGATCAGATCCGGTTGACAGAAGTATTGATCAAAGCTTCTACTTCACTAAAGAAGTATTCACTGAAGTACTGATATCGACCAAACGAAATCAGTACTCTTCTCGAGATTAAGACCAAGCCTAATCTCAAGGAAAGGGGGATGGGGCTTGAGATTCTTCAAAAGACTCCTTCTTTATACCGAAGTTCGTCGGGATCTGACTTGCCTTCGCTGTAAATTCATGCTCCTTTGACTCCTTAATCCAGTAGCACTTCGCCCTCTTGATAAAATTTCACCCCCTGAGAAGGGAGGCCCTAGGCTTGTATTTATAAGGCCTCGGATGCGGTATTTGAATAAGAATGAGAGATTTGGTCATATCTTTAGTTGACAACGGCCTAACCATGTTTGTGGATGGTATCCAATTAGTTGGGAAGCTCTGGAACTAAAGAAACCGATCAAAACAGCCTAAAATGTGTTTTGAGCGTTATGGCAGTTCTAAGCGCGAGACAGACCGCAGTGACCCGTGCGGCCGCGGGTCACCATGCGGTGACCCGCATGAGCGCGGGTTCCGAGCTTTTTGAGCTTTTTTGATGTTTCCCGACTTTCCCGGACTTGTACTTTCTGTCGATTTGCGTATTTGGTTGTCTTGTTGACTTGTAGGCTTCGCTGATTGATGAGCGTGAGCTGACTGATGAGCGCGTTCGGTCACTTGGAGCTGACTGACGCGCGCGAGCTGACTAACTAGCGCGTTCGGTCACTTGGAGCTGACCGACGCGCGCGAGCTGACTGACGAGCGCGTTCAGTCACTTGGAGCTGACCGACGCGCGCGGTCACTTGGAGCTGACCGAGAAGCGCAGGCCACTCGGATAATCCTTCTTGACTCGGATGATGACGTTCATCGTCTTCTCTTCGTCTCGAGCTGCATGCGGATACCTATAGGCATTTTTAGACGCCTACAACATATAGTAGTTCTGTTGACTGTACATAGTGAGTCAAAATTTTAATAATTTATTTGATTTAATTTATTATTAACAACTCTAATAACTATGACATGTTTAGAAACTTGTCATCATAACGTGGTATAAGATTATGACTTAACAGCAAATGTCCAATGATGCCTTTTTAAAAATGAGGTTGGCCCTTTTATTTCTGAGACCCTAGTTGGTATATCTTCTTGTCAAGTCCAACAATAGAACGACTTTGTATCCATATACTTAAATGAAACATTTCTTCAAACTAGAATATAACTATCAATGATAGAGGTACGTGCAAGCTGAAAGTTAATCTTATGCATTAAATTGGTTTTAAATGGTTACCTAATATTGGACAAACGAAGAAGAAAAGAAACACAGAAGGCATATACTTTTCGAAAATAAAGGTCTAAGGGTTGAGTCCTCAGGTATAGATTCCATCAATTTTATATTTATTCTGATAAATTATGTTTAATACATCAAGTAAAAAAATACATGCAACATTTGATATAGCGAAATTAGCTACAGCAAATGCTGCAGTTTTTTCTTTTTACAGAATATAAATCACATTGTCTTTTCCAACTAATTTGTATCAAACAAATAGAACTAGAAATTTTATTGCAGCAGTTGTCGCTGCAACTCTATTTTGCATCAACCAAATAGCCCCTAGAAAAATATCATCATAAATTGTTAGTAAGGTGAAGTAGTTTTTAAGCACATGCCCGTGAAGTAATAAATATAATTATGAAGGTTTATATAGCTTTAAATTAGCGTAACATCTTTAAAATTTCACATACATAATATTCAGATAAACATTTTTATTATGCGTACTTCTAGTTCAAAAGTTCTTTTTTTTCAAAGGATATGCAAGTTGAAACTTTAAAGGATAGATACAAAGTTAATTCTTATAGAGTGGAAAACTTGCTTACATGATACTTTACCACATTGTAGAATCTATTGCTAAATAAATATTATTTTGAATTTGTAAACTAGAAATTAATTTAATTTGAAAGAGATCCCATAGAATCTCACTCCATTCACTTTATTATATGGGAAAAATCTCTTTTAACCCAAAGTTTTACCCCCAATTATTTAAAAACCCATCCACTTTACTAAACACCAATAAACCCATTATACCCATGTTGCTTAGTTTTAAACCCAAAGTTCATTATACCTCTCCATCTCTATACTGTATTTTCCCCAAGATAGAGACACCCGACTTTGCCCTTTCTCTCTTCTTCTCATCACCGTCAATAGTAGGCATTAATGGCGACAATGGCGGGAGAAAAGGGCGGGCTACACTCACACTTCACAAACCCCTAATTTGGTATCCATCTTTAATTACTCTCTCCTTCTCTCTCTCCTCCATTAATTTCTCCTCTCTTCTTGAGAAATCTCTCTCCTCCATCAATTACTCTCTCCTTCTCTCTCTCCTCCATTAATTTCTCCTCTCTTCTTGAGAAATCTCTCTCCTCCATTAATATTTCTCTTCATAGAAGACATTAATCCTACATCAGATCAGTGGTTGAGATCTCATGTTTGTTTCTTGCAGCAAAAGAAGACATTTAAAGGTAACTATAAAGTGATTGAGATCCCATCTTTATATCTTGATTTATTGAAATGTCTAAATTTTTAAATGAGAAAACCTTTATCGTGTTGAGACTACTATTTTCTCATGAGAAAACCCTAATTCTGTTGATTATATCATTTGTAGTGAGAGTTAGGAAAGTGCTATACTTTCTTTAAAAATTATTTTATTTTTTATGAATTTCAGTAATGGAAGAAGAGCTATATTGTGCAATTATGGACTTTAGAGGAAACAATCATTTGATTCCAATGAATATCAAGGGGACTTTCAGTAATTTAGTGGCCGAGGTGCAAAGTAGAATTGCTTTTTTTTCAAGCCCAGTGAAGCTGACTTATGAAGTCCCATATACAGAAGAATTGTTTGTACGTGTCCATGATGACGTCGATTTGTCAACAATGTTCGATGTACATCTAAGTTGCAAGAAGAAGATAGTTAAGATGCATGTTGACATAGATCGAGATACATTATTTGGTCTAGAGGAAAACACCATTCACATAAGGTAAGAACTTATTGTATATTGTGAGGTCCATATTTCACAAAATTAATCCATGTTTATTTAATTTCTCTGTAGTTCAAAGAAAAATTATGACGATATAATATGTCGGCAATTAGCTGTAGTACTAGATAAGAATTTTCATTAATGTTTCTAATTGCTAGTCTTATAAGGTAACTGCTTTATGTTTGCAGGAATCCTACCATATCTCTTTCGGAACAACATGCATCCTCGACGCATAATCTATCCAATTCAGAAAATGCATTACGTGAAGTTGAGAGATCTAGTATTCAGATTCCTATTTCATGGTATCATGCCATTAGAAGTGTCGGACAAGAATTTAATGACGTTGAACATCTAAGGCAAAGTCTTGGAAATTACTCAATTGCTCTCGGTTTTAACTTTGCTTATTTGAAAAATGAACCTAGAAGATTGATAGTAAAATACAAAGGTGCTGATTGTGAATGGATGGTCCATTGTAACCATCGTACAAACTGCAAACGGTTTTACGTGAAGAAAATTGGTAGTGCACATAGTTGTCTCGGAGGAGGCATAGGAGAGAAGGGACATCCACGGGCATCTCGTAAGTGGGTTGCAAATATTGTGAAATCCATACTAAAAGAACAACCCACCTACCGCGCAATTGATCTTAAAAAGAAGCTTCTGAGAGAGTTTGGCGTTGATATCCCCTATGGAAGAGCTTGGTGTGGGAAAGAGCTTGCTCAACAGGAGTTATATGGGTATGCAAAACATTCATATGAACAACTTAGATGGTACAAGAATAAAGTTATGGAAACTAACCCAGGATCAATCGTCCATCTAGAACACGAAGATGGCAGATTTACTAGATTTTTTATCTCATATTATGCTTGTTGGAAGGGTTTTCTTGAGGGATGTAGACCAATTTTATTCTTGGATGGCACCCATCTTTTTGATAGGTACAAGGGAACTCTACTTCCTGCTACTGCTTTGAATGGAGATGGAGGAATGTTTCCTGTCGCTCTTTGCATTTGTGGAACCGAGAATGAGAGCAATTGGGAGTGGTTCCTTGAATGCATTCGTGATGTATTGTACAATTCAGATGATCCATATACTCCGAATGATGAGCTGGTTATAATCTCTGATCGAGAAAAAGGACTTCAAAATTCCGTCAAGAATTGCTTCCCTTGTTCATATCACAGTTATTGCATCCGCCATTTAATGGCCAATTATAAGAACAACTTGTCAAAGAAAAGGTTACCAGCACCACTTAGGGATGATTGTGTTCAAATTATGAAGAGAGCTACCTATGCCTACACAATGCATGATTATCATAATGAATGCAACAAGCTCCAGAATAAGTCATCTATTGCTTTCATTGAAATGCTGAATATGAGCCCACAGAACTGGGCTAATTGTTATTTTCCTGGAAAGAGGTCACCATTTTTACATATTTTTGGTCTTTATGATTGAATTCTCTGATATGTGTGTTTGAACATGTATAACATTTGAATAATCCTATAGCTATAACATGGTTGCAGGTATGGGTGGTTAACCTCAAATCTAGCTGAGTCCTTCAACACAAGGATTAAGGAAGCCCGATTTTTACTGATAGCGTAGTTGGTTGATCACATCCGGGTGAAGATGATGAAAATGAGCTACGATAGACGTGAGGAATCCAACAAATGGACTACACCATTTGCTCCTAGTGTAGAGGAGCATCTTGTCCTAATCAACGAGGGTGCACGTTGTCTTCATGTTAATCCTTCGACGTCGATTCTGTATGAAGTATATGATTCCCCATCTGTTAGAGTGAATTTGGAGTACTGCACGTGTACTTGTCGCCAATGGCAAGTTCTTGGACTACCTTGCAAGCATGCGGCCGCTGTAATCAGGCACAAAGATCAGCTATTGTATCCATATATTTCTGACTATTTCAGCACAGAGGTGTACCGCAAGTGTTACTCCTTTCCCATATATCCAATTCCTGATGATGAGAAGCCAATTATAACGGATGAGAATATGGAGATTAGACCTCCATTAACCTCGATTCGTAGAGGAAGACCAAAAACAAAGTGGATCCCTTCTGGACTAAATCCTTCTATAATGTTGAAGTGTAACCGATGTAAGGAGTTCGGTCACAATCGACGAACATGTAACCAACCAATAGCTGATTGAAATATCACGCTTTTGAATATTTTCAAATCAGTTTGATTGTGATTTTCATGGACTTATTATAGGTTGATTATGTTTTGGTGGTGAAGATCAAAAAACAAACTATTTTGATCATTGTAAATTTTGTGTAACTACTTCAGTTAGTTTTAATGTTATTTCAGTTAGTTTTATTGTTATATCTGTTAGACCCTAGAGGGGGGGTGATTAGGGTCTTATGCTAATCTAATCCGATTAAATGCTAATTAAAACTAATTAACAAATATATTCTTGCAAGATAGATATACAAAGAGTTATGTGCAAGAATATGCAATATACAAAATACAAATATATGAGCAAGGATATATGAACTAACACAAGGGTAAAATAAACAATCTACACAAGTGATAGGGTAATATGATGAGCAATACACAAAGGCGATATAAGATATGAAAACAAGAATAAGAACGCCAATGCAATCACAAACAAAACGATATGATCAATTACGGAGTTCGGTCCCCACGACCTACGTCTCCGCTCCTCACCTCGAGGAGATCTCCACTATCTCAACCGGGTTTTCTACGTTCACCCGAACAACGTTTACACCTCACAATACAATCACTATGCAATCACACCTCACACACTAAGTGTTGGTCCTAGCCCGTGTCCTCCTCCTCAAGTGCTCGGTTACAACCTCTCCCTAGGCACGTCAACCGACGCCACTCCTCTTGGATTCGACCCCGTCTCTCACCACACACTTCTCTCGGTGTACAAGTGTATTACAAGTGAATCCTCACAATTAAGCACAATATAAATCAATTGATTGTTCTCTAAACAAGGTGAGAACTCAATTAAGCACAACTCTTTAGACATGATAATAAACATGCTACAATGACTGGTTTTGAAAAAGGACTTCCCAAATGAAAAATATCATCATTTTACAAAATAGTCCAAAACATGAAAACCTGAAAATTGATATTTTGATATTTTGACTTAAACAACATTTTGAAACCTTATGAAATGATTGTATAGACTTGATAAAAGATATAACATGTTGTTATGAAGTCTATAATCTAGAAATACAATATTTTCATAAATTTGCATATTCTATGCAATATATTCAAAACACTAAATATGATTTCATTAAATATAAGCTTGTTAAAGGTGAAATCATATATAGGCATATAAACATGAAACAAAATAGTATTTTCCAATTCTATTCATTTGTTTCATATATAAACTCGAAAACAATTAAACCAAAAACATATATGTATATATATAAAACTATATATATATATAGAAACCAAAACTTGTGTATATATATATAACTATATATATATACGAAGAAACCAATAAATGTGTGTGTATAGATATTGAGCTTAGAGTACTTAACACGCATAATATAAATCCTAAACTACATTACCCAAGCAATCTTGATCTTCAACGAAGCTCTATCTTGGTACACTTGCGGATGAAGCTTGAACTTGATCTTTAACTTGAATAGCAAGGCTTCACCGACATTCCGCCAACCTCCTTTGGATATGATCGTTGAAGCTCTATTCCATCCATCCTCCAACAACATTGTTTGTCTACAATAAATACGAAAACACAAATACTAGACAAACAACATTAGTGGTAAATTGTTTGTTAAACATCATCAAAACAAGAAGGCCAACAATCTCCCCATTTTTGATGATGACAAACAATTTACAAAAATGATATATGCATGAAAGGAAATGAATATACAATGTATAATATATCATGCATATAAACAAGAAATAATATACTCACAATATTTCTCCCCCTTTGACAACATCAAAAAGGGGATAAAAAGAATAAGAGAGCGAGAGCTCCCCCTATCAATAAGCACGGGTGAGTATCAAACATAAAAAGATATAGGGATTGCTCCCCCTATCAATTGCTCCCCCTATCAAAATGCCATATAGAATATATGAAATGAAGATCATGGCAAATATATGTGAGCAAGCATAGATAAAAAATATGCTAAACACCACTCACATACAAAAGGACAATGAGAACACATATAAATATGTTAATATGAAAGAAGTGTCTCATTAGCACAAAAAAAATATAAAAACCATATAAAGGAATAGATTTATGAAATCAAAAGAAGAGGAACATGAGATTCATGCAAAAAAGTTTTCAAATAAAAACAAATCAACCAAAAGAAATCATAAATCAATCATTTAAACCAAAAATGATGTTTGATCAAAAAAAAAATTTTCTTTGTAAGACTTGATCAAACCACTTATAGAATACATTATAAAGCACGAATAGATGATCCATTAGCACAAACACATAAATATCATCATATAAGTGAAATATAATGAATTCAAAGCAATAATTTAAAAACAAAATCTTTGATAAAAGAATTTCAAGAGAGGCAACAATATATCAAGCTCTTAAGCTTGTTTCAACCCATATAATCATTCTAGCATCCGGTAAACATGATTTGGGAATAAACACCCAATAAATCCGGAGGGTTATATAAATACAAACCTCTCATCAAAATCAAAACTAGGAGTTATGAAAACAAAAGAATTTGACCAATAAAAGGAATTGTTTTCAAAAAAGTTTAAAATATATTTTTCAAAACCAAGAAAAAGAAAAATAAAAACACTAAAATTCTTGGTTTAAAATCAAATTTGTTTTGGTACCCAAGTATTCTTGGTACCAAAAGATTTAGGGACATGACCCCTATCATTCAAGCTCAAAGCCCTAGGGTTATGAACCCATTTGGGTGCATTTAGTGCACGGGTCCGGTCATAGCAATAATTATGTAAATGACCCATTCGATTGCAATAAGTGCAATGAAGAGGATGCATTTGGTTATGTTGACCATATGGATGTGCACGAGGAACATTTGCAAGTAAAGATGGTCTTTTAAGATTATTTTGCAAATGAGAAACATTTTGAAATAATGTTGGTCTACTTGAAATATTTTGCGATTTAGAAACTTTTCGCAAATCAAAACAAAACTTGGCTAAGTGACCAACTCTACCACAAAAATCACAATGATACACAAGAGCATGCTTATGATGAGAAATAGGTGCATGTGTGTGTACATGTGATGAAGAAACTTGATGAGATGCACAAGAAGGATTAATATTCTTATGTTTTTGTGCATCATAGCAAAACTTAGCTAAATGGCCTTTTCGACCACAAATGGAGCATTTATAAGTTTTACTATACAAGTGTGCAAAGTGTACGGGTTTAGAAGTTGTAGTACTAGACTTTGCACCCAAGTCCATAAGTTTCTTATTATCTACAATGCATGTTTTAAGGGTTGAATCTAAAGATGATATTCGGTTTTTCACAAGATTCAATTCATCATTATGCATACAAGCATTGGAAATAGAAGTAGATGAAACATGATCATTTCTAAAAGAATTAAACTTATTTCTAATAGTTTCTACTTCTATCATGGCATTATTATTAGCATGAGTTAAGCTAGCAATAGATGAAGACATGTTATTATTTTCCAAACTTAATAACTCATTGTTTTCTTTTAAAATAGCATTCTCTTTAACAACAATATCAAGTTTGGAAGCTAGCGACTCATGATCGGATTTTAAACTAATATGCTTGCTTTTAAGATCAATAAAATTGTTTTGCAATTTTGTATAGGCATGAGATAATCTATCATATGCACAAGCGAGTTCATTGATGGATATATCACTATCGGATTCCGAATCGCTTACCACACTAGGGCTATCGCCTAGTGGCCGTGTGCATGATGATGCTCCACACTCACTTGAAGAACAATCCTCCAAACTACGTCGGATTTCCTCCAAGTTGCCTTGATGTGCTTCTATGAATTTCCATAAATTGTAAGCACTATCAAAATGAACAAATTTGTTAGAAAATGATGAGTCAAAGGCATTAAGCAAATATTCTAACAAAAGCTTGTTCATATTAAACATTTTATTATCATGATTGCTCCACTTAGATTTCTCCAATGTGGGCACAATATAAGCACAATCAATAATTTTCCATAAGTCAATATTTCTAGATTCAACAAATAGTTTAAATCTAGAAGCCCATTGTGCATAGGGAAAATTAATGAATTTAGGAGCAACATTGGATTTATAGCCTAAACAAAATACATTCATATTCAAGATATATATATGAACATATGCAAGCAAGACAAATGCAATCATAACTAGATTAGCACAAATAAGATAACTTGGATCTTTAACTCAAGGTGGTTAGACCTTAAATCAAAGAGCACCAAGCTCTGATACCAATTGTTAGACCCTAGAGGGGGGGTGATTAGGGTCTTATGCTAATCTAATCCGATTAAATGCCAATTAAAACTAATTAACAAATATATTCTTGCAAGATAGATATACAAAGAGTTATGTGCAAGAATATGCAATATACACAAGGTGATATATCCTAGCAAAGAGGTATACTATATGATATATGCAAGGATATGCAAACACAAGGGTAACATAAACAAATGATATAGTGGATGAAATAAACAATGAGAGAAAGGCTATAAAGATGAACAAATATAAGTGTGCTAAGCCAAACTCAAACAAGCAATATGATCACGGAGTTCGGACCTTCCGTCCTACGTCTCCGCTCCCCACTCCCGGGGAGAAATCCACTAACACAACCGGGTTTTCTACGTTCACCCTCTTCTACACACTCGGTTTTCTAGCTAACCGAAAACTCTACAACTCACACTCTTGCAATCACACTCTACACCCACTAAGTGTTGGACCTAGCCGTGTCTCCCTCAAGTGCTCGGTTACAACCTCTCCCTAGGCACGTCAACCGACGCCACTCCTCTTGGGACGATCCCCGACTCTCACCACACACTCCTCACTCGGTGTACAAGAGTATTACAAAGTGATTTAACAATTAAGCACAATATAGCAAATGATTGTTCTCTCTAACAAGGTGAGAACTCAATTAGGCTCAACTCAATGTCACACTATCCCACAACCCAATTATATAATGTATGCAAATACAATAAGCTCAATGGTTGTGTGTGCAAA